GCATGCAGGGCTCGCTATAGTGCGGGTTCGAATCCCAGGTTATGTCTTAAAAAAAGGAATTTTTTAAAGAATTTATAACATCCCTATGCTTTTTTTGGTCTAGGTCATCAAGGCAAAAAAGCATAGCGTAGGGCCCTGAGCTTCCAAGCTCTCTCGTTAAAGGGGAACTGTCACCAAAAAAAATCTTTGCCTTATCTTGTAGTTCTTTGGCTCCTGATCACGATGGTGTTATTCGTTTTTCTCTGCGATGATTGCAAGTGGGTGAAAACTGGAAAAGAAGGTCCTCAGAATTGTCCCGAAGTACCGAGTGACGTCACGCTGGACTTGCCCTGCACGCGTACATTCATCGTCAAAAACGACGTCCAGCAAGTGTGCTGGTCGATCGAGTCAGCTGTTCGATGTACGGTGCACGCTTGCCTTTTGAACTCGGACACTGATGTGTACGTTGTACACAATGAGAACGCCAAAAAGGGCCAAAACAAACAAAGGTCGACAGCAGTTTATCGCGCTGGTACTTCCTCCACGCCTCCACGAAGCTCCAGCTCTTTGTTTTATTTGTGATTACGAAGGAGTGGAAGGATTTTTGTTTGCTGTTAGTGTGACACACATACCTTGTACTTGAAAATGATGTCGTTGTATCGAAGGTGGCGGTGTTGCCCACACGGCTCTGAAATGAAAGACGTCGGAGTTTGTCATCTGCATCTTCAGCAACATCGCCAGATGAGTAGTAGTAGGTTTTTTCATTTTGACCCAGCGAGACCATACGACGCTTGCAGATCACAGCACGAACAGTTCACCAGCCACACTCCACGAAAGCAAGTAGTAGTACTCCTGACAAGTCTTGTTTCGTTCCATAGAGATAATAACGGGGAACTCATCAGAGGAGAAGCAGTTGTTGAATGAAAGGGTTAAGCTGAATTGAAGATGGCACAAAGAATTATCGCCAGATGAATTGCCTTCACGTCACTACATTGCGTTCCTTTGGGGCTCGGGTTGGTGGTGTTATCGCCGGCCGGAGGAGTACTGTTTTCTGCATACGCGCTCATCATCGTGTTGTTCCTCACACGAAAAGTTCAAAACAACGACTTACTTCCGTGCTCACGAAATTAAACTAAGATCCTCGCGGAAGAAGTCAAAAAGATGAAAGCTCAGCTGCTTTTTATTTTGATTTGGCTGTTTAACTGCACGTGGGTCTCTGCCTCTTTGGCATTCTCCTTCTGTACGACATACGCATATGTGTTAGAGTTCAAAAGGCACACGTGCGCCGTACATCGGAACAGCTTGTTAGCTCGATCGAGCAGCACACGGGCTGAACTTCGTTTTTGACGACGAATGTACGCGTGGAGGTCAAGTCCGGCGTGACGTCACTCGGTACATGTACTTTGGGACAATTTTGAGCACCTTCTTTTCAAGTGTTCACCCACTTCCAGCCATCGCAGAGAAAAACGGATAAAACCATCGTGGTCAGGAGCCAAGGAACTACAAGATAAGACAAAGCATTTTTTTGGTGACAGTTCCTCTTTAAGAGTATTAAACGCGACCAAAACGTTTGTCCACACAAAACCAAAAGGAGAAGAAGACAGCACAAGCACCAGGATGTAGCACGCTGACCATGTGTTTTCACACTTCCCGGAAATTGGGTCTCGATCCGAGATCTGCTTTCTGGAATTGGCACGTCTAGTGTCTTAGATGGAGATATCATTCACTGTTTGGAAGTAGTGACAGCTTGTGTAAAGGCATCAATAGCACTTGCCAAGACAGAGTTCATCCCAATGATGATCATCATCAATAATGATTTTCACCTCTCACTAACGTTTCCTCCATATTAAGCAGAAATGATATACCCACTATTCAACGACAGCCCTACATCAAAGCTGCAAAGGAGAGCAGCCATGGTGAGAGCATTCATGCCTTTTATAATTGTACAGTGCGGATCGGCTATAGGGTTGTCGGCTATAGTAATATACCTCTTATAGTGATGGTATTTTCAAATTCATTTTCGTAAACCACCCCTTTCTATACATATCGGATCGGCTATAGTAATAATCGGCTATAGTAATATATCGGCTATAATGATACGATTTTTTTGTCAAAATGATCTTATTGCATACATTTTTCATCGGCTATAGTGATGATCATAATAAATTATACATCGTACATGGCGAGATCTGATCGCGGCAGCCAGGAAGCGCTGGTACGACTATGATATCCCTCGGAGGAAATTCGAAATGTTTGGCATTGGCTGTGCTTGTTGTTCCGGGGCATCCTCCAGCGAGTTCGGAGGCGGTAATGAGTACCAGCGCTGAAGCGCTACCGTGGTCTCCGCCGAGATGTTGGAGAAGGCTTTGAGGTAACAGCGAAGACGATCAGGGACGCGGAGAAACTTCTCCGTGACATACGACATCACGCGTCGATCGACCTGCCACTTGGAACGGTTTCAGCGGTGACATCATTGCACCTGCAATGTGCATTAGGGATCGGTGCTCCGCGCCCTCCTCCTTAGTATGTACACAAGAGATGGTGCTCAAGTGCCTAGTCCGCAGCCTCCATCCAGTTCGCCCATGACGTTGCAGTATATTGTAGAGCTGACACGACTCCGGCTGTTGCAAGCACGCTCTCAACCGCAGTCTCCTTCCTGGCTGTATGGCTGGAAAGGCGAGGACCGATTCTCAGTGAGAAAAAGAGCCAAGCTATCACTGTCACCCCTTGTAGAGACGCTGGACCCTGGGTCACAGTTCTCTGTCGCAGCCAAGCTCCGCGGACAATCACGTGCGTCATCATTGAAGAGGGGCTGAACTTTCAGCAACACGTTTAAGGCTTTAAGCCATTACAGCAAAGGTGTCCCGCAAAGTAGGTGCCCTCTGGCGGCCTCGGAGCTGTTTGAGGCTAGCGATCCGGTCACCTATTTGAATTCCTTGCTGACGCCGGATCTGAAATACGCATCATGGTCTAGCGATCCGGTCACCTATTTGAATTCCTTGCTGACGCCGGATCTGAAATACGCATCATGGTCTTTCATGTTCTGTCTAGCAAGCAACGGCTCTGAAGACGCTGCAGAACAAAGAGGTTCGCGCAGTTTCGGCGCCCGGCCATGGGACTCTGCTCAGCCTCTTCTGCAAGGGGTGGAACTCTCCCGAATCGCAGAGCTACACAACAAAACCTGGTGATGGACCCACGGCATTGTGGAAAACCTGCTTTCTGCACTGAATAACATGTCAAGCTTGCAGGAGGACATCGCAGCGCACGTACCACCCTCCGCGACATCCGCACCATCCCCGATGTATTCAAGACTTCAGTCATCTCCATACATTCACTCCATGAAACGTATCAGCCATTATTTGGTTTGTTTTCATCATTGGCACACGCACTGCCACGCCTGCTATACACTGTTATATTTGCTGTCATATCCACTTGTAGCCAAGTTACAGTTGTCCACGTTCACTAATGTCGACCGAGGTAGATCTCTTGCAACTGTGTTCCTGTGTAATAGTTTCATGTATCCAGCTAATGTCTCTGCTTCGTTCAGGGAATTCAGAGCAGGAAGAGGGCTTTAACACCCGCTCTTTTCTTCTCTTTTAGAGGAGTTGTTCATTTTTTGCTCTTTATTTCGTCTTTTGCTATTTTCCCGTCCTTCGCTTTCTTGTACCAGAACATTAGAATTTGCAAATTATAATAAACTGAACCCGTTGCAGGGAGTTTGACAAGTTGCAGCCTTTCACCCTTTTTACCCAGCCAAGAGCATTATTAATTTATAGCCTTTGCAGAATCATTATAATCATCATTATCCGGTAGTTTTTGGAGCATTATGGTTAGCACTATACGAACATACTCCGGACATCATGCGCTGGACCCTAGCTACAAGGAGAAAGTGGCACGAAAAACTAAAAATAAGAGTAAATTTCGGGCCGCTTTCTGTTCCAGTATAGGATTGTTCGCTGAGTACTCCACCCATTGTTCTGAACATGTCTTCCTTTTACATTTGTATCTCACACCTAACTCTCTGTAGTTTAGTTATGCTCACCTAACCCCGACAGCTAGAGTCCCAGTGTTTTCTAGTAGATCAAGTCCACATACACTATTATACAGTGAAGCTCGAGTTTCTCAAGTGCGCGCCGGGCGCAGCGCAGCCCTAGACCTGCGAACACTGGGCTGCGAAAAAGTGCACGGGGCGGACTTGAGAAACTCGACAGGATGTCGTTGAGCTGTACTGTATAATAGTGTATGTGTACATGATCTACTAGAAAACACTGGGACTCTATTTCCGAAACACTCGTTCATAAAAGGATCATCGTCTCGTTCGTAAGGGAGCTCATCGCCGCCGCGCACACCCCAAAGCAAGATGGCATCATCGAGGTATGACTATTCCGGATTCCTGGAGTATGAAATTGGCGGTTGATGCGAATGTCAAAGCCTTAGACAATCCACCCTGCAGCTACCTTCACCGAACGTTGCCCTTTTAGTTTTCGCATTTGAGAACCCAAAATTGCCTTTTTCTTTATCCAACAAAATAGAACAAATTCATTGTGATGTATAAGCTCTAAGAGTAATACATAATTCAGTGCTCTTAGAGCACAAACGTCCTTAGCCTACTAAAGCTCAACTAATGGGGAGTGAATTCACTGTAACACTGCGTATTGAGCAGAGAATGGTGGCTCCTTTCCTTTCAGGTTCGCCGAGTGCATGGGTGGTGAACTCCTACTGTGCTTCAGCTGCCAGTCGAGAGTCAAACAAATTACAAAATAATTATTGAAGCCGCAGGAAAAGCGCGAGCTCCATGTAGGCAACACACAATCCAGAAAGAAAAATGACTTTTAAAGATCCCTCTAGACAGTGATAGAATTTTCGCAGACGTTCTCTCTCTGCTTATTTGGTAATTTACGTGTTCTCAAAGTGTCTTGTTTGCACATGCCTGCCTTTGCTTTTAGTGTTTACATGCCCAGGAAGTGGCACTTACGTGTTTTCAAGGTGTCTTGTCTGCACATGCCTGCCTTTGCTTTTAGTGGATACATGTCCAGGAAGTGGCATTAAATTCGCAGTCTACCAGAACGAGGCTAATCTGTTGCAAACCTATAACAATCACCTTGTAAGCTGCGGAGAAAATATAGAAAGTCGTTTGCCAACCTCCGCTGATTTGCCCTGTATCAAGTTTGTGCTCAACACGCACAGGGAGAAATTCCCGGAGCGTAACTTCACGACTTTGTTCTTTTATGCTAATGGAGCAGCTCACACCATGACTATGAGTGCCAATGGAGAGTTAAGTACATCTCGACTATCGCAGGCACAGCGGAACCAAGTATTTCCCGGAGCTAAGGCTGCCATGTGCATACCAGCCTGCCAGCAGTTGGTAAGATTAGGTGGCTATGACCTGACCAGTTTAAAAGCAGACACACACATATTCATAATGTAATGGTAACAGCAGATAAAAACTAGAATTTGAGGGAATAATATTTATAATTATTTTCCAAGCTCTCTTGTTACCCTCTGATTATTGACTCCCAATGATTATCGCTATTTCCTAAGCAGTCAAATATTCCTGCATATTTCACTCCTTAGGGCTCTATTGACTGCTTATACTATTTGACTGCTTAGGGTTGCGCAGTTGAACGGTGCCTAGTGCATGGTCGCTGTACTTTACTGGGTTGCACTAGCTGCATGCAGTACACCATACGTGCTGGTATCGAGTAGGTCATATGGTGAAATCCTAAAACGGTTATTCATGAGGTTATCGTTCTCGAATTTGAAATATGGACTGTTTGTCGCGATAAATCTAATATTGACTTCGTGCTTGGTCAGTATGGGAAATAAAAACCCTGTAAAGAACCGAAGCTTTTCTTTCCTTTATTGACCTCGTAGTACCTTTAGACAAACCAGGCACGCCACTCGGAAAACCGAAAAGTTATCGCCCGATCATGTTACTCTCTGTAGTGAGAAAGGTGCTGACGTCAGTTATTACTAAACGTAGAAATGAAAAAAGAAAAACTTAAACCATAATTAATTAATTATGCTGTGACTTGAGCACAAACTGTCTGATTTTCAGTCAGAGGTAGGAATGTGCGGATAATGCTCGAAACGGTGGCAGTTTCTGCTCGAAAAGTAGTGAAATTGGCAGAACCATACAAACCTTATGGCGGGCAATTCCTTGAATTCTGCTCCATTTCTTTATCCACATACCAAACATGCATGAAACTTACCAGAAAAATACTGAATTCTGCCAATTGTTTCTGCCGGCATTATCCGCATATGCCTAGTCAGAGGCCTTGCGATAACTGAAACTTCTGTTTACAAAGAAGTAATGTCCAATGTAGACGGCATAATATATGTTGGACTCAGTAGAGCGTCCAGCCCCTATATGATGTCCAACCCCTATATAGAGTCCATTGGTCCAAAATCCACTGTACAGAGTCCAAACTTGGAATCAACTGTGAGCTCAAACTTTAGATGGGCATCACACACACACACACACACACACACACACACACACACACACACACACACACACACACACACACACACACACAAACTTATACAATGCCAAGAAAACACCAAGAAAAGAGTAGAGACACAATACACACGCAACTCCAACAGCCATGCAAACGTCCACCCATTTACACGTAAAGTCAAGAGGGATAACAAATAATTATACGAAACGAATGCATACGTGGACGGGTGCACGCACGTTTACATACATGTAGTAGTGTAAGACTAAGAGAGTAACATAGTGCAGTAGTCAGCATACTACTAGCACATGCTGAGAGTACAATAGCAAGCTTCACCATTGCTCATGGCCATGCAAATGTTTAGCAGCACTCAGTTCCGCAAGCTTCTGAAGATCAGCTCACCTGCAACAAATAGATAACACAAGGATACGCTTATTACTGTAATGATGCATGGGAGCACACAACTACCAAGTTCTCAACGAATGTGATGCTCAATGAAAATCCATCCACTCAAAGACCTGTGAACAGGTGACGGTGGGGACAGCAATCTATTAGTAATACCAAGAGTACATAACCAAGAGTGTGCAACTGCCTGCACAACCTCTATGCTGTGCTGCGACGGCAGAACTTCACATCACGTGACATGGTTCAAAAGGTTATGCTGGCAAACAGTGCAAAGTGACCACAAGAGAGTTGTACCCAAAGCTGGGCTGCGTACAACCCAGTATCTATCATGCACTAGAGTGCACGGGTTCATCACGTGATGTGAAGTTCTGCCGTCGCAGACCCTATAGCTGGAGTTGCACACTCTTGGGTTATGTACTCTTGGTAATACGAGGAATAAGATCGTTCGTGCACACTCAAGACGCACAGACACACCACCATACATGTAGTGTACACAGTGTTTCACTTCACTGCAACTAAATTGAAATTCGATGATTTGAACAATCTGTACAGCGTTGCCGTCAGTCAATCTTCCCCAAGATGGAAATGCACTGATTTGTTGTCACGAGGCAGTTTCACTGACACAATGTCATGTTTGTGACATCAAAACGGTTACTTCATGGAATACGAGTACATGTATTAGCTTGAAGTTTTTTCTTGTCATCAGCATACAAGAAATCTTCCTACTACTACTACTAGCACACTGGCACTGCGTTTGTGGATCCCATTGTATTTGACATCATACTAGAGCCTAGTAGAGGACGAGTGTCGTGGAGTTCACATAATTATCACAGGGATAAAAATACATTTCTCATGAAATAAAATAATAATATTGATGATAGCTAGACGATCGTATACAATTGATGCAAAGTCCTTGCAGTCCTTGAGGACTATTACGAAGTGGTTGATTACTTTTAGGGCATTCATTCAAGCAACATCAAACAAACGCGATACGATCCTTGAAAATGGAAAAAAAAGTCAAGCATAACGACAGAACAGCAGACCAATCGAAACGAGCAAAAGCTTCCTTACCTCAGTCATCGTCCTGCCATGTAGTTGGACAGCCTTTTGACACGGTGGTACAGGCAGCTCTTGTCCAGTCAAACAGGGTATCCTTGTGGCGTCGAACGAAAGAGAGTGTCAGTGTATCTGACTCGTCAGATTGGAACTGTGCTGAACTTTTCTCGTTCTCCGCTTTCTGCTTTCATCCCTCGCTCTGATGAAACCGTTCAAACGCCTTACTGGCAGTAATGGCCAGCCAAACAGGGGATCCTTGTGGTGTCGAACGAAAGAGAGTGTCACTGTACCTGATTCGTCAGATTTGAACTGTGCTGAACTTTTCTCGTTCTGCAATTTCTGCTTTCATCCCGCGCACTGATGAAACGTCTTCAGAGAACCACAAGACGCTTTCCAGATTTGATTTTGAACGTCTCCTTATCCTCCTTGGTTACCTCGAGACAGATTACTGTCAGCAACTGCACAGCAGAACTGGCAGCCATGGCTGAAGTGAAGAAAGGAATGCGCTGCCACGAGGCAAGCAAAACTGAAAAGTAATTAGTTGTTTGTTCTCTTTCGGGCACAACACACAGGACGTCGAGGACGGCGTGACTGGATAAACTGGACTCCTGGACCGTGGAAAGGGGACTTGTAGAAAAAGTGTACTCCTTATAGGGGATTGCGCGGCGGGATGAAGCTGATCAAAACTGAGTGGACTCCTGGACTCTGTATAGTGGATTTTGGACCAATGGACTCTATATAGGGTGCTGGACATCATATAGTGCATGGACTCTATACTGAGTCCTACATATATACTATGTACTATTACACTAGCATTTCCTACTTCACGACATGAACAATACGGCGAAACGTATGTCGTGTGATACTACTTGTTATCGTAGTTAACTTGTCTACAACCATGTCATACATGAAGACTCTGGAGTACTGTTAGATACTGGCATTCGGTTTTGTACAATTTGGTTTCGCAAAGCTTCCCCTTTCTTTATCTCTGATATTGCTGGACCACCCAAGCTGGGTGGTGTGTTTCCTTGCTGCTTCGAATTGTAGTTGGACCGCATTGTCCAGTTTTTAACTGGTCTCTTCATCGCCCTGCAACGGTCGGCATTCTTTGTTGCCATGGGACTTAGCTTGTGCACATTTACGATGCGTTCACCTACGGTGATTGGTACTACGGTACCATAACCTTGAGCCTTCCAAGCTGGAAGGCTGCTGGTGTGCGCACTGGAGATGTGTTGGAGCTAGGTCTCAGGTCTTCAAATGTCTCAGTAGCCTGTCAGCTTTGGGCCATGTTATTCACTTTATGACTGCTTTTTACCTTTTTACAGTCGTTGAAAGATGCTTCATAACTCGTTTCCATGTGATGTCTTTTATTTTATAATACTGGCTCAGTAACCGAGTTAAATTCCTTGCTTTCTATAAACAAAACAAAACAAAGTTCAAGTGTGCTATGTCACGATAAATCTAATGTTGCCCTCAATCTCTCATGCTCGGTCAATACAGGCGATATAGATATCGTGAAAGACCTCGGCTTTAGCTCAATCTTTTGCTTGTTCAAGAAGTCATTTATTTACTTTGTGCAATAACTATACTTATGGTGGACCCCAGGTGAATTACTGCGATTTTCACTAAAATCGCCCCGAAAGAGGGTTCTCCTTTTACCAGAACACGTGAAGCTTTCATTTGAGAAAAAAACACTCAATGCCCATCTGATCTGCATTGCCTGCTTGTCTCATCTCGTTAGTTATATATGTACGAATCAGTAAGAGATCATTGAGAAAGGAAACATTGACAGGGAATGCTCATGCAAAGTATGTACATACTTCGAAGTACATATCTTGGCACAGCACTTGAAATTGCATTTCACGTGGTTATCGGTGGTGTGAATACTTCTGAAACCTAACGTCAATGAAAACGTCAATGATAACGTCAATGATACCGTCAATAATAATGTTGACGGACTTGTAGTGGTAGTGGGTTCGCTGCTGCTGCTCAGCATCTTGTGAACCTTCATGGTCTGCATTAACATGATTAAACGTCACCTAGGGTTCTCAGTAAAAAGGCAGTAGCCTGCTGGGGCTCCCCTAGTAAAATAATTGAAACTACTACTATTTCACATTGTTCTCACTGGTCATTCTCGTGTGTTGGGTTTACTTTCTCACTTCGTGTGTCTCCAGCGAGAGAACAGGCAACGCTCAAGGGTTTGATTCAAGTCAAGTAGCTCGCCGTACAGTTTGAATTCGCAGTGGCCAGGATGAATGATTATAATATTTTCATCCCACAGCTGACTGCATTGCTTTGCTTATTTGTTATGCAATCGAGCATACTCTTTGAAGCATTAGCCCACAACTGCATTTTGTTATTTGGTTACTTGAAAAATTCATGGCACTCCTTCTGAACAGATTGCCACGGATATGATCGTGGAAATTCATTTTTGTTCTACTCGGTGTGTTCTCCATGGGCAGCGGCAAATCGCTTGTTTTGCTGGTGAATTTATTGATATCAGAAATCTATAGCACCAGGGTTTTAATGGAAGTTGGCTGGAATTTCCAGACAAGAGAAGGGACATTCATGCATGGCATGATTATAGTTCTCACTATGCATGGTTGTTTATGGCGGGTTGCAATCAGAGCCTTTCCTTCCTCGACTATTAGACCCCGCCGGATATATTAATTTTATTTATCCCATGGTACGGTACTATAGGCCTGTTTCAGCCAATCGAGAGCCTTCCTGGCCGGGAAATAATAGCCAATACAATCCCGCGCGGGATTGATATTCATTATTAACTTGGTTCACTTTTACCGTACCTACGGTGCATCCTGCATTGGCATGCACCCACCCCCTCTCGATTCGATGCAATGCACCTTGCCACTGGAGTCCTTTCAATCAGAAACCCAGAGACAAAATGCACTAAACAGAACCGTTAGAGGGTGGAAGCATGCCAATTCACGTACTCTCTCTCTCCCTCTCTCTCTCTCTCTCTCTCTCTCTCTCTCTCTCTCTCTCTCTCTCTCTCTCTCTCTCTCTTTCTCTCTCTTTCTCTTTCTCTCTCTCTCTTTCTCTCTCTCTCTCTTTCTCTTTTTCTCTCTTTCTCTCTCTTTCTCTCTCTCTCTCTTCTTCTCTCTCTCTCCCTCTCTATCTCTCTTCTCTCTCTCTCTCTCACTCTCTCTCTCTCTCTCTCTCTCTCTTCTATTGGCGCGTCTGGTTGTGATGAAGCCGAGACCCAAGGTCGGCAGAGCATCCCAGACCACGCCACCACTCCCCTTCAAGTATTCATGGCTCACACATGACGGGTTTACGTGGCTCTAGTAAAAAATAAAAAATAAAATGCAGAGTGCACCGTCGGTACAGTAAAATTGAAGCACTCACCTGAACTGAGAGAACACATCTCCGCCACTACGTCCAAAACGTCGGTACAGTAAAATTGAAGCACTCACCTGAACTGAGAGAACACATCTCCGCCACTACGTCCAAAACCAGATCCCACAAAAACAGACTACGAACTCCAATCACTATTCAACTCAACACTACGACACAAAGGACACTTCGAAGTGCATCAGTTCTCATTCACTCTTTCTAAACTCGAAACCCACACAAAGTATCACCATCCGAGTGAAAATTACTAATTGCAGGTGCAAGGAGAGATACCGTAACAACACGAAACGTAAAAGACATGAAAGTGAGAGGAAAAAGCTTGTGCAGAATATTCAATGGCGTGAAAGAAGAAGAGCTCAGCAATGCATGTGTGATGTAGATAAGGTGTAAAGAAATCTGCATGCCAGATGCGACCTGCAGTGATTATCATGACATTGTATCCAGTACGATTACCACAAGGACCATCTAAAATGTAGATGCTGCTACAAATCCAGTCTGGCTATAACAAGGTCAACGTTCTTCTGATTGCATAGTGGCCGATAGTGATACAACCAAGAGTCTTGATACAACGAAATGCACTTTACTCACTGGTGCCAATGTCCGACGTTATGCACAATGACATGTAGTTACTGCCTGCACGGAAAGTGTTCAGCAAGGATTCCAAACGGTTGAAAGTTCCACGCCCATCCAATGACAAGGAAGTCAGCACTATCATCCATAATGACGTTGTATCTCGCCGTGACTTGAAGTATGACCCTTACCTACTTTGAACCAATGTATGATCACAGTGATCGTCAATACTGCATATAATAACAGTGCAATCTTCGTCAATTCTCTAGTCCAACTACTAATTGCTACTTGTCTCCATCGTTCTCAAACCTTGACTGGATTGAAAAGAAAGACAGCATCTTGTTTTTGGTACATCTGTACCTTGGTAATTGTATTCAGAACGCAGTTGCGTCGATCCCCAAAATGTGTGGATGTACCTGGGATAAATGCGCTTAACTGGTTTAACTCCTCTTCGTCAAGTCGTAATAAACTAAGATTCCCTATTTCAAGAAATAACTCAATGAGTCGCTCGCCTGTTTTCATTAGCTACTGTCTCTGGGACTCACTTCCCCAAAAAATGCAATCATGTGAAAACATTTCTGCCTTCGTTCGTGATCCTTCGGACCATTTCCCGTAAACCTAATAAACTTTAGGGCTGAAACGATCGTGGATTTTCAAGTATCGATTACTCTTTAGCTTAACGATCGAGTAATCGATTATAATCGTTAGCAAATAGAGTCATAATTCTGTGCAAACATTACTGTTTCCACAAACTATGCCTTCATAATACCTACAAATCTGCATTAGTGAAAGGGTAGCTCCGAAACATGGCAGTTTTGAAGTCAATTTAACCTCTGAACATGAACCATACCCCTGGCAACTGCATACGTCCAGCGGAAACTGATTCAAACTTCACAAAACGAGGGTTTACAGTAATTTCTTAACAAAAAATTAAAAAACGCAAAATAATCGTAATCGGTAATCTAAACGATTGCTCGATCGTTAGAGTTATCAAACGAGTACTCGATTATTCGGTATAATCGTTTCAGCCCTACTAATAACACAACTTGATTTGCAGCCCAATCTCTTGTTCCCGTAGCTATGCAGAAGACGTTACTTCAGTAACGTCTGGTAACGTCTGGCGCTAACCAGGGTCCACACAGCTTTAATTTGGTGTTTGTGTGTTTGTTTGTGTCACGCCTGGCGCTATCCGTATCTGACGGCAAAAAAGCATAGGATGTTATAAAATTTTCAATTCTCCTTTTTTTCAGGCATATCCTGGGATTTGAACCCGCACTATCGCCCTACATGCATCCCCCGATACCCTTCGCATTCATACCCATTCTTCCATTTTGCTTTACGTTATTATCTTGCGTTTGAAAGCCCTATTTGAATATTGCTGGCAGCTGTATGTGGCCAGCTGTGTTTGATGGTACGGTACGGTACGGGAGACGGTGTAGTAATAGTAATACCCTCGATCGTGCCTGTCCCGTACCTATCCCCTACCGTACCGTGCCATCAAAGACGGCTGGCCACAATGCATATTTAAATAGGGCTTTCAAATGCAAGATTACAATGTGAAACAACTTGGAAGAATTAGTATGTATGCGAAGTGTATCGGGGGATGCATGCAGGGCGCACGATAGTGCGGGTTGGAATCCCAGGTTATGTCTTAAAAAAAAGAATTTTTAAAGAATTTATAACATCCCTATGCTTTTTTTTGTCTAGGTCATCAGGGCAAAAAAGCATAGCGTAGGGCCCTGAGCTTCCAAGCTCTCTCGTTTTATTGTTGTTGTTCTGATTTGCACTTGTTTTTTTGTTTTGTCTTTTTTTCTTCTTTTTTTGCCATGGCTGGCTATAATCCCCCTCACCTCCTCCTTGATTGGCCTTGGCCATGAGTGTGTGCGTAATAATAATAATAAGTAGGATATTGACCCGCGTACTCGGGTGTTACCGTACCCTCATATAATCCCTCCTGCTACGCAGTCGAGATGATATTCGGGAGGTACCCACCCTCGTACTTGGGTAATATCCTATACATTATAATTAAATTTTATTCCCGTAGCTATGCAGAAGACGTTACTTCAGTAACGTCTGGCGCTAGCCAGGGTCCACACAGCTTTAATTCCTGTAGCTATGCAGAAGACGTTACTTCAGTAACCTCTGGCGCTAGCCAGGGTCCACACAGCTTTAATTTGGTATCTGTGTGTTTGTTTGTGTGTTTGTGTCACGCCTGGCGCTATCCCGTATCTTTCCCGTACCGTACCGTACCATCAAACACAGCTGGCTACATACAGCTGGCTGCAATGCATATTCAAATAGGGCTTTCAAATGCAAAATCATAACGTGAAGCAACTTGGAAGAATTAGTATGTATTCGAAGTGTATCGGGGGATGCATGCAGGGCGATAGTGCGGGTTCAAATCCCAGGTTATGTCTTAAAAAAAGGAGAAATCTATAAGAATTTATAACAACCCTATGCTTTTTTTGTCTAGGTCTTCAAGGCAAAAAAAGCAAAGCGTAGGGCCCTGAGCTTCCAAGCTCTCTCGTTTGGTAATTGTGTGTTTGTTTGTTTGTTTGTGTCACGCCTGGCGCTATCCCGTATCTGTCCCGTACCGTACCGTACCATGAAACACAGCTGGCCACATACAGCTGGCCGCAATATTCAAATAGGGCTTTCAAACTCAAGATCATAACGTGAAGCAACTTGGAAGAATGTGTATGAATGCGAAGTGTATGGGGGAATGCATGTAGGGCGATAGTGCGGATTCGAATCCCAGGTAATGCCTGAAACAAATAGGAGAATTGAAAAATTTATAACATCCCTATTCTTTTTTTGCTGTCATCAAGGCGGTAGATGGTGTCGTAGTACCCTTGTGATCGAATCCATGTGGTCAATGCATTCTAATCTAGGTTGCTAACATCACAACATTTCCGGAAACTAACTTGTTCACACCTACATACAATCATGAGTCCATACCGTGTGTGGTCTGGTTTGTTATGTTAGCAACCTAGAATAGAATGCATTGACCACATTGATTCGATCACACATTCCCCCCTGGTAACACAACAAAACAGGGAACATGCACTAAAACGTATAACTAAGGTTCTCCAAAGAAAAGAACCAACCATCCACCAACAGCTAAACAAGAGAACAGCAAAATGCATAATGGGTCTTGCATTTGCTAGATTGCTCCTAACTAAGCACGCGCCAAGTAATACTGATAACACAACACACATACAGTTTCAGGAGCCATAGCGCTGTGGCGGCTTAATGGCAGATCTGTCTCGCAGTGACATGCGGATGCCGCCATCCCCTACGTTGCAGCACATGTTACAATGCCTAGCTACACATCCTGACAGGCAACTTGTGGATAGGGTAACGTGCACCAGCCAGCACAGACCACCAGGTACAGGCCATCATCACCATCACTGATCAATCACGATCAATCACGGCATCGTGCTTCACCGAAATGGGTCGGACATGCTGCAGTTCCTCTACAACTCA